TTAATGTAGTTTTGTTGGGTTGATGAATTTGATGTGTTAATTCCAGGGAAAGGAGAGGAGAACCCCATGCAGCCCCAAACTTTTTAATACAGGGTGTACATCTTCTTTATAAGATAAATAAAAATCAGGGATTTCCGGCAAAGAGTGTGAAAGTGATGAGGTCGCCTATTTAAGCATGACCTGATAAGGAAGACAAAAGAGACATTAAATAATTTATTAACAAATAAGTATTCCATTATGTGAAAGGATTGGTGAAAACTCCGTGCGAAATGAAAAGGGGGTGCTAGGGAGCAAAATCTTCACATACACCCCCTGCTTGTTAGAGATCTGCGGATGCAGAGACTGGACGTACGTCGTTTACTCTGAGTCGCTTACTATTATTAAGGAGATCAGAGGTTAGGCATTGTGTTATATAGATACTATAACCTTGCATGGAATAATAAAATCATAGGGGAGACCACAGGTCACCCAACATAATCCATAAATGTTAAACTCTAATATATCATATATCTTATAATATTGCAGTTAATGTTGCTCAGCAACCCCCCTCCCCCTCTTTGTTTTCTAATACCCATCACAGATGGTTATTCCCTTGACAAAAATAAATTTTCTGTTTTTTGTACACTGAAAAGGCTTCACAGTATTACGATTTATTCTATTTTCACTTTACGTATACAACGCACTACATTTTGTAGCGGAGTAAACAGACCCGATAGACGTGAACTGCGCGGGGGACCTAAGGTCCTAGTTCAGCGTACGTTTTATCCTTCTGCGGATGGCAACGTGTTTTGGGGGGGGGGGCCCACCTAAACAAATAGATCTGGGCTTGGTCGGAAAAATCTCTCAACTAATTTAGTATCCGGAGTGTTTGTGCTATTTATTCAAGTTAAGAAATGAAATCTGCTTGACGACTACGGGCTGTTCATGGCCTTTTTTCCACTTTGACAGCTCATCCTGGACTCCATGCCACTAAACCGGAAGTGAACTCCGAGGTGAATATATGACGTAATTGAAGAAAAGAACCAAAAAAATGCATGTAAAACTTCATGTCCAATTTTATGTTACCATACGTGATCAATAAAAAGATATATTTTTCAAACAAAATAATGCTTTATAAGGGCGCTTAGTCTAACTGTTTGGCTCTTTGTCGACATGGCTTTTCAGTGATTTAAATTTGGCGCTTGTAAAAACTGAATTATCTGTCCTTGGTACACATCGTCGTACAAGGAAGAAAAAGAATAAATAACTTTTTAAAGTTCTCTTAAATATATTTAAAATAACTGAATAAAATTACGTTGAACAATTATTTATTTTATTTCATTTGAACAAGTTTTTATAAACGTCAAATATACACTGCGAGATTCTCTTCCGGTTTAGTGGCATGGAGTCCAGGATGAGCTGTCAAAGTGGAAAAGGGGCTAGGAACGGCCCGTAGTCGTCAAGCAGATTGAATTTTTCACATTGAATAAATAACAAAAACGCTCCGGAAACTGAATTAGTCGCGAGATTTTTCTGGCCAAGCCCAGATCTATTTGTTTAGGTGGGTCCCCCGAAAACACGTTGCCATCCTGGGGTTTTTTTAATTAAGGGTAGGAAATTTTTTTTCCGGATTTTTTTTTTTTTTTTTACGATAAAAACTTCAGACTCCTGTGCTATGCTACACCCAAATATATGTATTTGCATAACTGGTATGAATTTAAAATTTCAATAAATTTTAGTTTACATAAAATGCATGCAAACTCTAAAAAAATTAAGTACAGTAAAACATTTCAGAGAGAAAGCATTTTCAAAGCATGGTAAAATCAAAATCGCTCACTTTAACATCCAGAGGTGAACTTATCACCGAAAAGCTATCCAACAGCTAGGTTCAATTATTTATCATACCTAAGATTTGCAAATATTGCTCAAGCCAATTTTTTTTTCAAAGTGCGTTAATAT